TCGTCGGGGATTTCCGAGTCCCCCGTACCCGGGTCTTACGTCTCCCCGACTTTCGGGCGTCCAAATCCCTCTCTCTCGGGGAGGGAGCGGGCGAGTTCGGCAGCAGCGCGTGGGAGCCTCGCAGACCCTCGCAGCTCAGTCGCCGGGGTGCCCTGAGCGTCGGCTTCCGCCCCGGGCTCGCCGCGTGAAGGCGCGATCTGCCCTTCGGCCGCCGCCGTCGGGCCGCAGGCGGACCTCCTCGCGAGCGGGTGGGCAGGGCGGCCCCGCGCGCGCCACAGGAGCTCGAGGTGTCCAGCGACGCGCCGCCGCCTCCGATGACGCGGCCGATGCGCCGGGACCTGCGCCCAGCCCTGGCCGAGGGTCGGTCGGCGGCGACGACAGAGAGGGGCGAGCAGCAGGGGAGGAGGAGGTGCCCATACCCCTGCCCGTCCCCAGTTGTCCCCCTTTGGGGCCTCCTGGGCGGCCCGCGTCGCCACTGCTGGATTCGCCCCGAAGTCCTCGTCCAAGTGCACCCCGGGAGAGGTCCGGAACGTGGGGGTGTTGGTGCCTCTCTTTTTTTGGTCTCCCCCGAGAAGCCCAGGGGCGGGCCTTGCACGCATTCGCCCCAGGCGCCTCGCCGAAAGCACGGGCCATGGGCGCCCTCGGATGCACGCAGTGCTCTCCACCCGGGCTATGCGCCCCCGTCGTCGCCCCCGAGGTCGGTGCCATCGAGATGGGCACAAAGAGTGGGCAGAGGCCCAGAGATCCTCTGCTCCAAGACACGTTTGGAGCGCCAAGTCGTTGGCAATCTTCGGCCTCCGGGGGGCGCTTCACGGGCCGCGGGAGCGTCGAGAAGCGGCTCTGGACGAGAGCAGGCCCACGGCAAGTGGTCCTTGCATCCGGGGGCCCACGCATCGGAAAAAGTGGGAGCGCCGGACGTCCGGGAAGGCCCGCGGCATACCTCTCATGCTGAACAGGCCTCGCTGCAGGTGTCGCCGCGGACGCTGTCCATTTGAGACAGGCGGCCGCCTGCCCAACAGCGACCGCTGCCGGTTTGGGACAACAGTTGCTGCTTGGCATCGTGCCCATTTTGGTCCGTACCAACTTCGGGCGTCCACATAGGTGAAGTCAGATCGATCTCCGGCGGCACGAGCAATCATCGGGACGGCAAGTTTTTTCGCGAGCTCCCAAGATCCAGGCGATGCATTTTTGTTCCACATCGGGCGTTCTCGCCCCGCTTCGGGCCCCCGGACTCTCTCACACATCGATCCGGCCTGAGACATGCAGCAGAACGATTGGGTCTAGGGCTCCAGCCTGGTATGCTTCTCGATGTTGCGTGTTTTTTATGTCGCAGCGTCGGATCTCAGGGTTCGGCCTTCTGGTCCGTCAAGAAGCGATTCAAGATGAGTTGCTATCCCAGGAGTAGGGGTCGTGGTCCAGGGGCCCATGTCTCGAGCAACATGGCGCCGCCAGATATCTGGAAGGGCGTTCAGACTCAGGAGGGGAAAAGCACAGACACAATGGATCGTCGACTCCCAGGCAAAGATGGGAAAATATAGGAAGTGGGGGGAAGACGACACTTTAGAAAAATGGGGAACTGTTGGGACAGCTGGGATTTGTGTCAATTTATTTGTGTGTGTGTGTGTCCCTGGGCCTCTTCACAAACGCCTTCTCGCTTGCGCGCGTCCCCTTCAGGGGGCCGCTCCAGGATACGGATCCGGCCGGCCCGGGCTCCCCCCCCAGGTGGGGGAGGACAACAGCTCACCAAGATGGCCAGATGCTCTGAATGCAGACGTTTTTGCCTTGCAACAATGTTGCCTTCATGTGGGTAATTGCCGTCGGAGGAAACGGGGAAGCGAGGCTTCCGAGCAGAAGCAGGAGCGAGCGGTATTGCGAAGGCCTTACGGCTGGCACCGCTGACCCTGACGGGGGACGACGACGGCGGCGGCGGCGGCGGCGACGACGCTGACGTGGGCCAGAGGCATGCTTCTTGGGGTCCCTCCGGAAAGCTCTCGGGGCCCTCTGGGGAGGAGTTCTGGGGCCTCTTGGGAGCCTCTTGGGGGCCTCTTGGAAGCCGAACGAGCGTTACTCATTACCCAGAACCCCGACGTCCTGATTTGTTCACAACGTCGACCCCCAGAAGTCTCGACCCCTTTCCCGAGACCGGTTTTTCATCCTGAGCCGTTTCTTCATGGTCCCGAGGCCCGGTAAGGGCCCCCGGAGGCCGAAAATGGCGAAAGACTCGAAAGACCGTCACAACGCGAGGGGGTCTGGGTATGCAGCGCAACCTTCGCCGAGGCGGGCGCGGGCTGTGAAACGGCGCCCTCCGTCATTCGTTTCGGGGCGAGGGACGGCACGCGAGCTAGGCACCGTCCCCGTCGTGCTCTGGCGGTGCAGCGCTGGCAGCGCAGCGCGTCGCGGAAGCGGTGGGTTTTTGAGGCAGTCGACGAGCACAAGGGAGGTCCATTGCTTGTCAGAAGGCAGAACTCAAACAACCTTCTGGGCGACGGCAAAATGCTCATGTCACGGAATGCCTCTTGGAGGTGGTGAACATGTCAAACGGTCAGAAAGGAGGTCCAGAATATTCGGAGGAGGAAGAGGTACCTATACCGTTTCCCATGCCTCGTGTTCTCTTTTGAGGGCTTTCTGGGAGGCCCTCGTAGCCACCGTTGGTTTCGCCTCGGAAGTCTGGTCCGAACGCATCCCAGGAGTGGTCCGCGGAGCAGCGGTATGGGTACCTCTTGGTTGGTCTCCCCAATCAAGGTCCAGAATATAGGGTGGACCGCCAAGCGTTCTTTGCCTTGTCCGCACCTGTCACGTACCTCTGATTCCTCTTTCCGTATCAAGTGTGGTCCCTGCTCAACGTGCATCCCTAAGTTTGAATGCGGTGAGGGTTCTGACACAGGGAGAGGGGGCCAGGAAAGAGTCCCACAAGGGTGGACGGAGAGCCCGAGGAGACTTTGCCAGAGTCGCTCCGGAGTCGCCGTTTCGTATGAGGGAACACAGGGGCCGTCTCGCCTGAGACTTCCCCACGACCGATGACCACAGAAAACGTTTCTCTTCAGATGCCCTAGCAACTGATTCAGGAATTGTGCTTTCGCTTCAATGCAGGCTACATTGTTGGTTTGGACGGCCACGATCTTTCGTATGAAGACACTGACAGGTGGACATGGCCATGCTCTCACCCCTGTCCTGGTTGCAGCTTTCCTTTCTCGTGGTTTCCCCGCCGACCCGTCTCTTCACCTTAGCTGGTATTGTGATGCTTTGCTGGGGTATTTGTTGCGTAATTGTGTTATGCCCTGCTCTGCTCTCTGCTGCTGCCGCGAACGGCATGCGATATCCGCTTCCGAGGCACACTTGTCGCCTCCTGCTGCGACTGACGGAGGCGAAGAGGCGGAAGCGGAGAATGAGGGGCCGCTCCCTGCTCATCCTCCTCCCCCTCTGCCTCCCTCCTCCTGCTCCCTGCTCCTCCATCCTTCCTTTCTCCTCCTTCCTCCTCCCTTCTCCTCCTCCTCCTCCCTCCTCATCCTTCTCCCTCCTTCTCCTCGTCCTCATCCTCCTCCTTTTTCCCCCTCCTCCTAAATTTCCCATTCCTCCTCCTCCTCCTCCTCCTTCTCCTCCTCCTCCTCCTTCCTCATTCCTCCCAAGCTGTTCTTTTATGCAATAACTGGCTCCAGTCGCACCCCCAGATGTGTCGGTGAGCCAGGCCGGGCGTTCCTCCCGAGTTTTTTTTTTCTCGCCATGTATGATCCGGGTGCAGACGCAGCACTGTCACGGACGCTGGGCGGGCCGTTTTGTCAGCGTGGCTCTTGCTCGGGCGCCGCGCGCATTCGCTTCGTGGATGGAGGGCGGCGCGTTGTCAACGCGTGGCTGTCACAGCCACGTGTGGCTGCGACAGCCGCTGCCGCCTTAGCGTCCCTGGCATCGCTCAGACGTGTGCATTTGTCCTTCGGCGAGGACCATCGAGGAGCATCCTTGATCATTTCGCGAAAAAACCACGCACGATACCGAAAAAACACACAGGGAATGGACGTCCGAGCGATGGCCAGCGTCGCGCAGATTCGTCTCACAGGTTGCAAGAGCTTCATGGGTAGAGGGCGGTTTCTGTTTGACACGTGGCTCTCCCCTCAGCTCCGCGCACATGATCTCTGTGCAAAGTTGGCAGGAGTTTCGTGGAGGGACGGCGGCTTCTTTTCCACTAGTGGATCTCGCCTTCTCAGCGCTGCGCCAGATTCTCATACAGCGGCTCTGTTTCAATTTGTGACTCTCGCCCTCGCGCCGCGCACATTCGAATGACAGCTTGGAAGAGTTGCACGGATATAGAGAGAGGTTCCTTGTCAAAACGTGGCTCTCGCCTTCGCGCCGCGCACATTCCTTTCGAGCTATGATAGCAGTTTCAAGGATTCTCATGGTTGACGCTCCACGAATCTTGTTCCGGCAGCTTCGGAATTTCAGGGCGCAGCAGTCACGTTTTGTCGCGGTGATCAAGTCCCAGGAACCGTGCTCTGTCACGATTCAGGATCGCCAGGACGCAACAGTAATGTTGATCTCGTGGCGTTGAAGTCCCAGGAATTGTGTTTTGGCACGGTCGAGCGTTCTCAGACGGTTGGCTTCCAACGGGGCAGCCCCCACAATGAACATAAGAATTTCTTATATGGTCCTGTGAAGAGGGGATTTGGAGATAGGGTTTAGTGCAACATCGTTGATGCGTTTTGGGTTTGCACTGGTCCTTCTCCGTCATTTCTTCTTCTTCTTATTCTTCTTCTTCTTCTTCTTCTTCTTATGTTTCTTCTTCTTCTTCTTCTCCTCCTCCTCCTCCTCCTCCTCCTCCCTCTCCTTGCCGTGCCTGGCACCCAGGACCCCTTCTCGTACCAGGTGCCTTTCTCGTACCTGTCCCCGCTGAGCCGCGACCAGCCTGTCGCCGGGCCTGGTGGCATGCAGCGGCCCGAGCTTTTCAGGCCCCCGTACCGCCGCCCTGCCTCGGCGCCGCTCACCCGAGGAGGAGAGGTGACGAGGTGGCAGGAGGGGGTGCGGCCCCTGGGGGAGGGCGGGTGAGGAGGAGGACGGAGGAGAAGGAAGAAGAGGACGAGGACTAGGAGGAGGAGGAGGAGGAGGAGGAGGAGGAGGAGGAGGAGGAGGAGGAGGAGAAGGAGGACGAAGAGAAGGAGGAGGATGAGGAAGGGAGAGGTTCCTCCCTCCTCCCTCCCCCTCCTCCTTCTCCTCAATCCTCATCCATCCTCATCTCTCCTTCCTCCTCTTTCCTCCCTCCCCTCTCGTCCTACTTCCTCCTTCTTCTTCCTAATCCTGCTTCCTGCCTCCTCTCTTTTCTTGGGAGTTGGGGCGGGCGGACGGAGTTGGGAGGGATGGAGGAGACGAGAGGGGAGAAGGAGGACGAGAAGGAGAGGGAGGAGGAGGAGGAGGAGGAGGAGGAGGAAATGGAGGAGAAGGAGAAGGAGGAGGAGTTGGAGAAGGAGGAGGAGGAGGAGGTGGAGGAACAGGAGGCGGATGAGGAGGAGGAGGAGGAGGAGAGGAGGAGGAGGAGGAGGAGGAGTTGGAGGAGGGAGGAGGAGGAGGCGAGGAGGAAGGGGGAGGAGGAAGAGGAGAGGGGGAGAGGAGGAGGAGGAGGAGGAGGAGGAGGAGGAGGAGGAGGAGAGGAGGGGAGGAGGAGGACCATGATGAGAAGGATGATTATTCACACAATGAGGAGGAAGGAGAGGAGGACTAACAAGAGGAGGAGGAGGAGGAGGAGGAGGAGGACGAGGAGGAAGAGGAGGAGGAAGAGGAAGAGGGGGAGGAGGAGGAGGAGGAGGAGGAGGAGGAGTATGATTCAAAATTGGTCGGAAGAAGAGAGGGTCGGGGAAGGTCGGCCCGCGTCTTGTTTTCATACGGTTGTCTTAAGTACTTTGGCTTTTTGGGCGCGTCGTTGCTGTCTAGGGGCGGTCTTGGGGCCTCTTGGAGCATCTTGGAAACCACCGTGAGCCATCCTCAGCTATCTTGTGCCGTACTGGAGGTCATCTAACTCGGGCTCTCTGAAGCCACCTTGGGCCCATCTTGAACGCTCTGAGTGGTCGCGCCCCCCCCGCCCTCCGCCCAAAGCCAAGGGAGGGGGAGGGTTAAACCCCTCTCCGAAGGAGAAGAAGTGGGCTGGAAGAGGATGCGCTCTAGACCAACTCCCCCCATAGGGTCGGTGGTATTGCTTGTCGTTGCGACCTGCCGACCGAGGAGGACGAGGAGGAGCAGCAGGAAGACGCGTATGATGGAGGCCCCACTGGACGAGTGCTGGTTCCTTTCTGCTCTCCCCTGCCTCCATCTTCTATCGCCTCCTCGCCGCCCTCCACTTATGTAGCCCTGGTGGCCACGCACCGCAAGTCTTGACGCCTCGTCATATCCCCACCAGCCCATCCAGAGCCGATGCGCAGGCGAGTTGCGGCCACCAGGGAAGTCTGGGAGCATGAGGTTTGACGATGAAGGGGGGCAGCCGTCAGACTGAATGTCGGTATCAGCCTGGGCTGACCGAACATGCCTTCACGGATCTTTCGCCCTGGGCGGGGGCCTCTCGGTTGCTTGCTCGGGCCTTGTCGGGGCCCTCTGGGTCCCGTGCTGCAGGCCTTCGGGGCCCTCTTGGGGCTCTGCCGGGGCCACCTCGGGAAGCCCTGGGGGCGCTCGTCTTGTTTGGAGGTGCAGCGCCAGGGCCGCGGAGCGAGCAGGAGGAGCAGCACACGGGCCCAGACATCCGCCGATCTGATTCCTTCAGCCCGCGGCCCCAGAGGTCCCGACCCCTTCCCCGGGAGTGGCTTCTCGTCCCGGATCCCTCTGTGATGGCCCCCGGGCCCGACATCCGGCCCCGGAGGCCGAATTCCAGGACAAACCTCCAGATTAAAAGGAACCACACCCTCGGATCTCTAGGGGAGAGGCCCAGCTGGAGGAGGGGGCCTCGGAGCCCGCCGGCCCCGACCCCGGCACGGAGGGGGGCGCTCCGCGCCGGTCTCCTCGGCCCCGACCCCCTTCCTGCGCTGGCTCCGGGCTCGGGGCGCCCTCCGGCGAGGCCGGGCCGTCAGCGACGGCCGTGGCCCGACCGCCCCAGAGATCGGGCGGTTCGAGAGCATCGAGACGACTGAGGTTTTGCTGCTGTTCGGAGGGAGGAGAAGCGACACCACCACCGCCACCAGGGGGCCCACCTCCAGCGAGGAGGTCCACGAGGCCTCCCCGACCTGGAGGCCGGGGATGTCTCGAGCGAGAAGGGGGGACCACACCACCAGGGAGAGCCCCCGTGCCTCCTCGCATCTCCTCGCCCTGGTGGTGTTGGTGTCGATTTCCCTTGTTCCTATACTGTGGCCCTCTGGAAGCCGTTTCTGGGAGGGGCTCGGCGTGTACGGCACGTTGTTTGGCCGGCCTGGGAGCCTCGAAGCTCGGCGAAGGAATTTGGTGTGTAGACGCTCCAGCGTCCCAGAGGCTGGGCAGCTGGGGCGTCTCTATAGACCGAGCTCCTTGGCATACCAAGCTGCGTGGTGTATACATCGAGCTCCTCCCAGCTTCGGCCCCATGACAACAACTGCCCAGAATGACAAACTGGGGTCAAGAGGTTCAGGGGCGCACGTCTCGAAAGAGTCTCATCACCGAGGCTCAGGGGCGGTAGCGGCAGGAGCATAACCTGGCAGCTCGGGGCAGCTCATAACAGAACACGTTAGGTACACCCAAGGGCGAGCATTGATTGTCGCTGCGCAGCTGCCGCTCCCAAGCGGCTACCTCCCCAACTGGCATGGCGTCCGAATCACGACTTTGCGGGATATCGACGCTGGACAAGCCTGCTATGGGCGTTTTTCAGCTCTCTTCGGATGGCGTTCCACGGGACGTCTGCGCTTATCTTCTCGCCCCCCCGTGGTCGCAGGTGTGGCTGGATGCGGCTCGGAGAACGGACCATCTATGATGTTCTGAACAGATGTCGGAGACATTTTGGCGGAGAGGAGAAGGAAGAGGAGGGAGAGGAGGCGGATGAGGAGGAAGAGGAGAGGTTGACTAGACGGGCCAGAAGGAGGACTGTGACTTGTTCCGACGTGTGTGGACGAGCAGGCCATTGCGCATGCGCTTCAGAAGTAAGTTTCGAGGCGCTCGCGCAGCCGAGGAGTGCCACATCTTGAACACTCTAATGCTCCTTTTCTTGCGCATCCTGCTTAGCGGCAGCGTGTCTGCGCTCGCCAGGTGGCAGTTCAACCAGAGAGAAAGGTTCCTCGGCCAGCGGGATGCCGATCGCGCGTTGCCCATGTGCACCTGGCGGGATCAGATGGCTGGATTGACAGGAGGTCAATGAGCAGAGTGTGTATTCATACTCCTGCGGCAGAGTCATAGTTGAAGAGCTGCCGCTGGTATGCTTGCAACGCGCTGCAAGCCCGTGGGCGCACAGCCCTTGCTGGACGTTCCTGGGACGTTGGAGGGGCCGACGGCATGTCGTGTCGCTATCTGCCTCGTCTCGCCGAGAATGTGCCAGCCTCTGCAACCCAAGATCTGGCTGCTTCATGAACTCAAGGATGGGAACTTTGTGTCTGTGCACCACCTCCGCATAAATAATGCCAGGGGAAGGAGAGGACGCGGGGATGTACGTCCGCCGTCGAATTTGGGCGCGAACCTCGGCGATTGAAATGCTGTGGTCACCTTTGTGAGATCTCGGTTCCCGAGTCCTCCCCAGAGCGTTCCAAAGCCCGTTTTTCATGTCTATGGAGACCTTAGACATGTGGTGCGACGGAGTGATGCGCGATCCCCCCTAGAGTGGGAGCCGCAAGGACCTCGGAAGCGTGTTGGGTCTGCGGTGCTGCGGAATGTTTGAGAGTTGCGCAGTTTCTCACGTTGTATGTTGCGATTCACTCTTTGGCGTTCTAGCTCTCATTCGCCACTTGCTATTCACCCCTGTCCGACAAAGCTCTAGCTTCTGCCTGGGAGATATATGCCAAGCGGTGGGTGGGTGGGTGGGGGGTGGATGGGGAAGGGCGTTGGGTGCGTGGATGTTGTGTGTGCGTGTGTGTGAAAATGTGTGTATGTGTGTGTGTGTGCGTGCGTGCGTGATTGCGTGCGTGTGTGTGTGTGTGTGTGTGTGAGTGTGAATGTGTGTGTGTGTGTGTATGAGTGCGTGCGTGCGTGATTGCGTGCGTGCGTGTGTGTGTGTGGGTGGAGGGACGGGTCCCGAGGCTGGGCTGACAGAAGCGCATATGGGCTGCTCCCCGTTGTGCTGTCTTGTGAACCGACCGGCGATATGGTGGACATGCCAATTGCATGGTGAATTTCGCAAAGTTTAACGCTACGGTTGCCCAAGAGGTATCTGCACCCGCCGCATCGATGGAACGGACTTGAGGGAGCTGCCCTCGTCCAGCACAGTTCCAATGTATCGACATGATGCGGGCTGTTCGTGGTCGCCCAAGTGAAGGTGGTATTCTTTAGTCAGCTCAGATTGTGCACGGTGACCCTGGGTCGCCCTTCGTGCACGGTGCTTTGAGTTATGCACTTGTTGTTGTTGTTGTTGTTGTTGTTGTTGTTGTTGTTGTTGTTGTTGTTGTTCTCTCTCTCTCTCTCTCTTTTCTCGCGCGCGCTCTCTTTCTCACACAATGTTTCCTTATATGTCTCTCTTTCTCTCTTTCCTCATATCTTTCCTCTTCCTGTATTCACCGGACGTTTTGTTTGTCTTATATATATATATATATCTTTATCTCTCGTTCTATTTCTCACTTCAGCTCTCTCAAATGTTCTTGTTGTCATCCGACTTATCCCACTCAACAATATATTGCCTGCCCCTTCTGCACCTCTTGCCCCCTCTTTTTTCCGCCAGTAACCTTTACCTCCCCATCTCCCTTCTCCTTCCCCTTCTCGCGACCCGAGCGAGCGGAACCAGTCTCATGCACAGGGGAAGGTCGGGGTGGAAGGGGTAGGGTGTGTATGATCAGGCGTTTCCAGGCCGACATATGAGCGACACAAGAAAACGGGTTCGTCTTCACGACATCGGCGCGTAAACTGCTCGCGTAAGTTCGCGAGTAAGCGCCCCAGCCTCCAATGTGGCGTGCCGCGCTAGCGGTCCGTGTAAGCCACCGCGCAAGGTCATTGTGAGACCTTTTTTTCCCCGTCGCTCATGTGGCCTTTTCCCCTCTCCATCCTTCCTCTGCGCCTCGTTTCTGCCTCATGAGATCCTTTCTGCTGAATTCGCTCATCTTTCTCCTGGCTCCCCCCATGTTTTGGGATAGCCGCTTCGAGCAGGTTCAGCAACCGCCCACGGCCGCCCATCACCAGAAGTGGCTCGAGGCAGGCGGCGATCTTTGCGATGCTGCTGCCCAGAGTGCCTTTATTTGCACGCTGCTGCTGGACAGTGCTTCTCTGGTTGGCTTGACGATAACCTGGCAGGCAGAACACTTGACCTTCACATCGTTGTCGCGTCGTGCATCGAAGTCTTTTGAGTAGGTCGTCGTAGGGTCTGGTGTAGACAGTCGAGCACGCACGAGTGTATTTGGTGCGCGCACCGTAGCCGCCGGGGCTCGACCCAACAAGTCTTTCGACATGCTTTAGGGCCAGGCAGAGCACGGCCAGGAACTGTGGCTTAGCGTATCGCGCCGCTGGTTCCGGCCCACCACGCTTCGGCGCGACACGCTGTCCACCTCCAGGTCTCCAGGCGTGGACGTCCCGAGTCCTTCCCCGCCTCCCAATTCGCGGGGCGCAGCGACACGCACGCAATCCGCTCGCATGGGGTAGCGTGTCGCCGGGGCCGCCGCCACGACATGCTAAGCAAACGTTCCCGACTAAAACACGTCGCAATCAAGTCTTGCGAGTGTCACATGTCGGCGGGGAAAACTTCGATCTACCGATCCGCGGCCGGTGGGCAGTGCAGAGCGCCAGGCTGCCAGGGGTTCGCATGGGGCGCCCTCGAGCTGCTGGGTGCCAGTTGTTGCAAGCTCGCCATGAAGGATGGGAGAACGAGAAGATACAGTCGGGGCCCTGAAGAAGGAACCCTTTTTGTTGGGGAGGGGCTCAGTGTTCCTTAGTTGTTTTGCAGCTCGCCTTAGGTGTTCCTCAGGTCTTCGATCGGAATTCGAAGCTTAACTTATGGAACAAAGGGGCCTCGTTCCTTATTTAGGGTTCCTTAGGTCAACGCCCCGACTGTAGGGCGGGGAGCGATGCACGCTCACCTGCTCCAACAGCTAGCTTCTCGTGTGGGGTTTCCTCGTGCCTGTGCTGAACGCCGCTTCAGGCAGACCATCTGCACGGAGTCTGTGCGAGGGCGACGAGTCGCCCGCTCGTGCACGGGCCCGCCTCCAACGATTTGGCGAACGCGAATACAGTCGGGGCACTGAGGAAGGAACCCTTTTCGTTGGGGAGGGGCTCGGTGTTCCTTGATTGTTCTGCAGTTTGCCTTCTGTTTTCCTGAGGTTTTCCATGGGAGATCGAAGCTCAACTTATGGGAGGAAGGGGCCCCGTTCCTTATTTAGGGTTCCTTGCGTCAACGCCCCGACTGTATGCGCCATGCAGGGGCGGGAGCCCCGCTTTCTGGCGAAGTCTGCGCGGCGCCAAGGAAATACCCATATGTTCGTCCGCTCGCGCGTCGACGAGTGGGCGAGCGAAACAAATCGCTGGGCCCAGCAGGAGCTCAATTCTTCGGAACTTGAGCGCAGCGCCGAGCGCAGCGCCGAGGCGAGAGCGGCATTCCGCCCTTTCGGGCGGGATTTGCGTCCAGCCCTCTTCACGCCGCACGTTTTGCAACGTCTACGCCCAAACGTCCATGTTGAAAGGACAAACGTCGATGCTGTTTTGACTCTGTAGGTCGGATGGAAGTCCCTGGGTTGAGCGGCAATCGGCTGTCCAGGTGGCAGAAAAGGCGTGTGTGTTTGTGCGTGTGTGTATGTGTGTCTGTGTTTGTGCGTGTGCGTGTGTTGTGTGTGTGTGTGTGAGTGTGCCTGGTTCTCTCTCTATGTCTCGCTTGATGCGAGTTTGTATGTATGTTCGTATACATGCATTTATATATGTTTGTGTGTATGTATGTAGTTATGTGTATACGTATGCGGGGATGTGTGCATATGTGTGGTGATGCATGTCTGTATGCATGTAAGTAAGTGTATGCATGTGTATACGTATGTATGCATACTGGTCAGTGTGTATATGTATGTTTGCATATACGTGTATGGATACGCATGCCTGCATGTATGCATGTATGCATGTATGCATGTATGTATGTGTGTATGTATGTAGGTATGTATGTACGTGTGGGTGTGTGCGTGTACTTATGTATGCGCATATGCGTGCATGTATGTATGCATGTATGCATGTATGTATATATGTGCGTGTGTATGCATGTACGTATGTATGTATGTATGTATGTATGTATGGATGTATGATCGCGTACATACATGCATGTGTGTGTGGATGCATGTCTGTATGGATGCGTGTATGTATGCCTGCATGCATGGATGTATATGTATGCGTATATGCATGTATGCATCGAGGTATGTATGTATGCACGCGTTCATGCCAGTGTGTGGGTACGCAAGTATTCATATGCGTATGTATGTATGCATGTATGCATGTGTGCATGTATGCATGTGTGCAGGTATGCATGCATGTGTGTATGCATGTATGCATGCATGTGAACGCATGTATGTATGTATGTATGTATGTATGTACGTGTACATGTTAGTGTGCATGTACTAGTATTGGTATATGATTGTATGTATGTCTGAATGTATTTGTAATGCATGATATATGTATGTCTGCCTGTATGCATGCATGTATGTATGCACGCATGTAAGTACACAATAAGCTATAGTCCGGTTTGGTTTCTTTAGTCATTGGATTTCATGATGTGTGTACCTACGCATACAATCCTTCATTGATCTAGTTGTCTGACCACGTATGTGTATGTATCCATGGATGTATGTATGACGTACATTCCATGTAGTATACACATGGAAATGTTCACTCATAACATACAGAGCTTTGATGTAATGATACTGGGGAGGAGGAGGTGGAGGAGGAGGAGGGAGAGGCGGAGGAGGAGGAGGAGGAGGAGGAGGAGGAAAGGAGGAGGAGGAGGAGGCGGAGGAGCAGAAGGAGGAGGAGGAGGAGGAGGAGGAGGAGGAGGAGGAGGAGGAGGCGCAGCAGGGGGATGATGGCGGCGCTGGACGGGCCCGTGGGACACCCTGTCGTCTGCCCAAGTGGTGCGCGAAGCCATGGACACTCGGATGGTGATGGTGATGCGAGAGAGCCACCGGAAGAAGCGCAGGACGGGGAGGAGAAGACCACGAGGGCGGCACAGCGCCGTGTGCCCCCGCTCCTCCTCCGGGCCTGCCCCCGCGCCGGCGTCCTGTCCCTCCCTGGGGAAAAAGAAAATCGCATCTCCACCTCGGCCTGATTCCCCTCCCCCCCCACCAGGGCTGTGGGGATTTCTTTCGAAAAGGGAGCAAGAAGTACCCCCTCCCGCCCCCACCTGCCCCCCGCCCACCTCCCCTTGGGGGAGTGGGACCAGGTGGTGGTTGTGGGGGTGCGCTTTTGCTCCCCTATCCCCTCCCCTCGGGCAGTGCCAAAGGAGGTCACCACCACTAGGGGGGCCACCCCCTCGGGAAACGGGCGCTGCTGGGCCCCCCAGACGCTCTCGGCATCTCCAGAAGACATTCAGAACATTCCAAAACCTTCCCGATGTTCGGATCACCCCTTCTCTGTGATTTTCGGTTTCCAGCAGGGCTTAGTGGGCGGAAGAAATATAACCAAAATAACAGTCGCCACGGCCTCGCCCCCTAGACACGCGGCGTTGTTTTGCGTGTGCCCTGCGCGGAACTCCTCCATGCGACCGCGCATCCCCAGCATCGCGCCCCGAAAACTAGGCCGCGAGGGCGTGGATATGGATACGCTCGCTGCTCGTGAGGACTTGGTGAACCCCCGACTGGCGACCACCCTTGGCCCTCCCCCGCCGCCCCTGTGGTCCCCAGGCCACAGCTGGACTCGACCGGCGGCGCGCCGGGCAGCTCCGCGCCAGGCGCTCTGGGGATGATACCCTCGCGAGCAGGGCGCAGGATGAGGGAGGAGGAGGAGGAGGAGGAGGAGGAGGAGGAGGAGGAGGAGGAGGAGGAGGAGGATGAGGAGGGAGGCAGAAAGGGGGAGGAGGAAGGAGGAATGAGGAAGGAGTGTGGAGTGAGGAGGGAAGAGGGAGGAGGGAGGAGGGAGGAGGGAGGAGGGAGGACCATCACATTCTCAAGAAGGGGAAGGCAGAGGGTTGGCCGACCCGACCCAACCCTCTACCTTCAGGGGTGACATCCGATCTCCCTCTCCACTACCCGCCGACCAGCCGTGCTGCGCCTTCCTTGAGGAGCACGGCTGCAGGGAGGCAAGGAAATCGGGGGCCCCCATCCGAGGCCAGAATATCTTCACTATCCTACCGTCTCCTTCGCTGACAGTCGATCTATCTCCATCGCCTGCGCCCCTACCTAGAGGAGCACGTGGCGGAATCGGCTATCCGAGACGGGATTTCTATCCAAATCACAAACCCTACTACGGCCTAGAGGCTTATTCGGGAAAGCGAGCGAGGGCCCCAAGCAGTGCGAGCACAGGGCCGGGCGAGGAGGCCCCAGGGGGGGGGCCCGCGGAGAGCCCGCCCAAGGCGCGGTTATCTTCGCGCCCGCGCCGCACAGGGAGCCCCCTACAGCTTGCGGAGGCTGCTACGGTTACGAAAGCCTCCTTTCACAATAGGCCACATCTCCATGGCCCTGAAATCTGCCTCCATGCCGTCCGAGTTGAACAACAACATCGTGATGATGCTCTTCCCAGGGTGCTGAAGGAACTTGTGATATCTCTTGTCTAACTTAGCACTGTCACGGGCGTCCGCGAAGACCTTCCAAAATCCACTGTCATCTCTGTATTGCCAACGCGGAACGGCTTCGAGAGTCATGAAGGTGGTGTCCTTCAGCTCCTTGTTGTCCGCGTTGGCGCTCGATGCTACTGCGGCCTTCGGGTCCATGCCGAGACCGTTGTGCAACGCCACCTCGCTTGTGGGCTCCACCGCTGTGTCCCCGAAGCGGTACTCCTGGACTGTGGTGTCGCTCTCGACGATCTGCTGCACCGGCGGTGCCTCAATGGTCTCCTGCAGGGAGGCGTCCTCCAGGTTAGCATTCTCGTTGACCTTCGTGATGAAAGGCGAGGCGGGGGCAGGCAGTTTGTCCACAGCCTCGCCCTCGGTAGCAAAGTTGCTGCGCATCGCCGCCTCGCACTGCTCGAACTGGTCGTTTCCGCCGGTTGTGACGATCAGCTCGTTGGTGTCCACGTTGGGCGGGTTTGCCTCCTCGACATTGTTGACAATGTTGGGGTTCAGCTTGTCGATGCTCTCCAGGGTCTCGAAGGTGGTGTGGCTCCGCTTCCTGCTGGCCACTTGGGGCGTGGCGTCCATGTTTGAGCGGGACTCGGTCTGCTGCGCTTTCGGGCTGTCGAGCAGAGCATCTAGCAGTTCCTCCTCCACAGGCGTAGAGCAATCTCTGAACGCCATCTGCACGAGGCCGTACTCCCAGAAAGAAGGCTCCCAATAGGAGTCGATGAGGGTGTTGACGTCTGTGTCTCGCAGGGCAGGAACCTCCACGACAATGTACTTGGTCCTAGCATGTGCAGGACCACGTTCGAGGCCTGCCTCGGACGCCGCACTGTCTGGCTGTGGAAGCCCAGGGGGAGGATGAGACCGTGCCGATGGTGTTCTCTGCAGTGCGGCGCACAACTCCAAGCCAGATCGCTGTGCCCTGCGGGCCGCAGAGCGCTGGAGCCGAGATCGCCGCGCCATCGACGCCGAAATATATGAGGCGGTCACCTTGCAGGCGGCACGCTCCCAGTCGCACATCGGCTTGTGGTGCGGATGCTGGCGGAAGGCTAGCGGGCACCTGGAGCCAATATGGTTGCTTGAGCCAATGAGGGAGGAGGGAGGAGGGAGGAGGGAGGAGGGAGGAGGAGGGAGGATGGAGGGAGGAGGAGGAGGAGGAGGAGGAGGAGGAGGAGGGGAGGAGGAGGAGGAGAGGAGGAGGAGGAGGAGCGGGAGGAGGAGGAGGAGGAGGGAGAGAGGAAGAGAGGAGGAGTGAGGAGGGAGGAAGGTTGGAGGAGGAAGGAGGAAGGAGGAAAGGAGGAAGGAGGAGAGGCAGGAGGAGGAGGGAGGAGGGAGGAGGGAGGAGTGAGGAGGAGTGAGGAGTGAGGAGTGAGGAGGAGCGAGGCAAAAGGAGGGATGAGGATCGAGGACGAGGAGGAGGAAGGAGGAAAAGGAGGAGGAGGAAGGAGGAGAAAGGAGGAAGGAGGAGGAGGAGGAGGACCAGTGCAAACCTCAGATCCATTAGCGATGTTGCAATGAGCCCTCCCTCCCAGTTGCCTCTTCGCAGGCCCCTAGAAGTGTTCGTTTTCACTGAGGGAAGTGCCCCGTTGGACGACAACCGTTTGAACATCCGGAAGTGTACCAGAACATCACTCCTGGGACTTCGACGCCGCGAGTCACCGGTATTGTTGCGTCCTGAAGATCCTGAATCGCGCCAGAACGCCAGTCGTGGGACTTAACACGGTGAATCAACATGACTGTTGTGCCCCATGCTGACATCTCGCCAAACCATGGGGATCCTTGAATCTGTCGCACGCTCTTAACACGAATGCGCGCGGCGCTAAGGCGAGAGCCACATTTGAAGCCACCTTCCAGTCGTAAAGTTCTTGGAAGCTCTAGGAAATTCTGAAGACGAATATGCGCGGCTCTGAGGGGAAGGCCGCATTTTGAAAGCGAACCGCCCTCCATCCGTGAAGTTCTTGCAGTGCTTTAAGACGAATGTGCGCCGCGCTGAGGCGATAGACACATGTTGAAAGCGGGCTGCCCTCGAACAGTGAATTTCGTGTAAACGTTTAAGACGACTGCGCGCGCCGCTAAGGCGATAGCCACGTTTTGAAAGCGGACCGCCCTCCATCGGTAAAACGCTTGCAAAGTTTAAGCTTCAGGATCCTCAATGGTCCGGAAGTATCGGGCGAAACGCCTGGCCCGCCCTTTCGAGCAGCTTCGGGTGCGACAGGGAAGAATTATCACAAGGACGAGGGATGGAGGGAGGATGGGGGGGAGAGGAGGAGGAGGAGGAGGTCCCTGGGGGACCATTGTTCCCCACGCGCATCTGGAGGAGTCCAAATCCACCGTTCTGGTCGTCGAAGGGGTTCGTAGCGACCGCACCCCCTGCGCCCTCTGTGGCGTCGAGAAACTGCCACGCGTGCTACGCTCTGCGAGCCCGAAGCGGATAGCGACCGCACCCCCATGGCACCCCCTGTAACGTCGATAGATTGCCACACCCGCCGTGCCTTGCGAGCTTGCAACGCATAGAGACCGCACTCCCAGCGCCCCCCCCCTTGCGGTGTCCAGAAAGTGCCACGCCTGCCGTGCCCTGCGAGCCGTGCCTTGCGAGCCTGCGGTGCCCACTATGTGGCGCATGCGCCGTTGGTGTGTGATGCAGTGAACACGCCAGGCGTACATTGGCGTTGTTCGTGTGTGTGTGTGTGTACGAATGTGTGCATGCGTGCGGTTGCAAGTAGACGCGTGCCTCATGTGCGTGCCGTGCATGTGTTGCGCGTGGGCGAGGCGAGAGAGGAAGAGGAGGTGAGGAGGGAGGAGGGAGGTGTGAGGAAAACGCGGGCGCGGTGCGGGTGGGAAGAAGGCCCAAACTCCACGACGCACCTGGGGAACAATCATTTCAAGACTCTTCGCTCTTACCTGCTCGCGTGCCATTCAACGTGTCTATCCCAGACCCTCGATGCCCGCCCTCTTCGTCTTCGATCGCACCCCCTTAGGGGAGTATCTTTCTTACTTGCAACATGTATTTCGTGCAGCCCGTAAGGCAGGGGAGGAGAGGAAGGATGGAAGGAAGTGGCAAGGGGCAGGCGGGTTGCTGAAGCGTGCGTCCTGCATGCATCGCGAACAAGTCTCGAACCATAGCGCGATTTCCAAATAGATCGCGTGGAAATCCACAGCGAAAGCGTGATTCCTGAGTGTCGAGGGCGAGGCGTTTTAATAAGTTGTGAGGGCGTCCGCGCGAGAGCGCGATTCCTGAATACATTGTGAGGGCGTCCGCGCGAGAGCGCGATTTGGGAACCCATTGTGAGGAATTATAAGGCGGCAGCCGTTGTTGTTGCTGCTGTAAACCTAGGGCCAACAACGGAGTTTGGTTATACCTCGCTTCCCCTTGAAAAAACAAGGTGCGAGCCCCGGGCAAATCATTTAAACTGAAAAAATAAAAAAAAAGACAAAAGAAAAAAAAAAAAAAAGCAAAAACAAACACAAAAAAAAAAAAAAAAAAAAAAAAAAAAAAAAACAAAAAAAAAAAAAAAAAAAAAAAAAAAAAAAGAAAAAAAAAAAAAAAAAAAAAAAAAAAATAAAAAAAAAAAAAATGGTTACCGGGCAGGAGGTATCAATACCAATTATTCTTTAGAAACCAGAACTCAACAACAACACCACCAACAACACCAATCATTTGAAGGCTGTTCGTTCTTATTTGTTCTCGGGCCATTCAACTCGCATATCCCAAGCCCTCGATACCCGCCCTCTTCGTCTTCGCGCGTACCCCCCCTGGGATGTATCTTTCTCGCCTGCAACGTGTCTTTCGCGCAGCCTCAGGAGGGAGCAGTATGGAGCACGAGAGAATTGCAGGAGGGGGGCCAGGACAAGAAAGCACGTGGAAGGCGCTCCCAGGCGGCCAGGTCGAGCAGGCGGGTTGCTGAAGGGTGCGTTCTGCATAACCCCCGGGGAAGTCTCGAACGATAGCGCGATTCCCAAATACATCGTCAGGAAAACCACAGCGTGAGTGTGATTCCTGAGTGTCGAGGGCGCGGCGTATTTAACAGCAACAACAACACCAACAACAACAGCACCAACGTCACTAACAGCAGCAACAACAACGACAGCAGCCTCAACAACACCACCACCACGAACAACACAACACAACAACACCAACATCACCACCACCACCACCACCAAAAACAAGACCAACCGCACTACCATCATCCATAAAACCGACAGCAACACCACCACCACCGACACAACAAACACAACAACAACACCAGCAACACCAACAACACCAACAACAACCACGCCAGCAACACCACCGGCAACATTGATGCCAACAAGAAGAGCACCAACAACAGCAGCAACGCAACAGCAACCCGCAACCGCAAAACCCCACTTCGGCCACGCACCCAGGTACAGTGCATGACAAATCGGCCCCCTCGCTCGAAGGAGGCCGTGTTCTGACCCCCTGGCGACAACGGGCGTGACCGGGAGGGGGGCGGGGGGAGGGGGGCGGGCCTCTTTCCCGGACGGCGTCGGCGCGAGTCGCCGCGTGGCCAGGGGCCGGGGGCAGGGCCCGTCACGGGCGTTGTTGCGAATGAGGAAAAAGGGGCTCCAGCCTCAGCGACTCGTCCCTTGGCATCGCTCGGACGTGTGCATTTTTCCTTCGGCGAGGACCATTGAGGAGCATCCTTGATCATTCGGCGAAGAAACCACGCACGAAACCGAAAAAGGCACAGGGAATGGACGTCCGAGCGACGGCCAGGTCCTCGAGCATCCACCTCCGCTCCGCCGAGGCCTCTCTGCCCAGCCGCCCTCTCCGTCCTCGTGCCTGCCCGCGGCGTGCCGACCTGCCGCGCGGGCAGCGGGTCCCTGCCCTCCTCCCGTCACGAGCTGGGAGGAGGGCCCGTGGCTGCGTCACCAGGCTCGAGGAGGCATCCGCGGAATGCGTGAGTCAAGGGTTGGAAAAACCACCCCGACCCCCGACAATTCGCGTTTACTGAACAGCCCTGGGCGTTGCCTACACAGCCTTGCCCTGTTCGATTCCTTCCATGGGTGCGTTTACCAAACGGCTTCGCTCGTCGGGGTGCCTATTATGGTGGTGGGTTTTCTGCTCTCTAGTGAGGATCAGGAGGAGGAGGAGGAGGAGGAGGAGGAGGAGGAGGACGAGGAGCCTAGACGCCAGATCCAAGTCGTTCATGGGCGTCAGATTCCCGAGGTCCAAGCAGTATCAGGGTGTGTGGTCGGATTCGCGGCTCTGCAGTTTCACCGTCGTTGGACACGCTGCTGGTGGGAAAGCGGGAGGGATCTGGTTCCTTAGCTGGCTGGGGTATGGAGATTGAAAGTGCGGCGCCGAGCGCTTGCAGCGTCAGGAGTCCTCATCGCAATGCCATGGCATTTGCTGGCTGGGGTATGGAGATTGAAAGTGCGGCGCCGAGCGCTTGCAGCGTCAGGAGTCCTCATCGCAATGCCGTGGCACTTGATGACTGTTCACTCTGCGTGAGCGGCTTGCCCGATTCTGTGGCCGGCCAGCCCTGCAGGGACTTTGGGCCAGGAGAAGGAGTACGACCGAAGAGGCAACATGCCGGATAACACAGGGAAGTTAGGCGGTAATGGAAGGGTGACCGCGCGGTTGTGCTTTCTTGCGCTGTTATGGCAAGGACAAGTGATAGTACACCAGAGAAAGCCCCAATCAGTGGATGGTTTGATCGATAAGGAGATCGACAGGGAACCCGGGAACCCGGAACCCACCGAAATCGGCCCAGAACCAATAACCAGGATCCCGGGAACCTGGAACCAGGCACCCGGGAACCCAGTCGGCCTCCCAAATCGGCGGCAAGTTTTCGCCAAAGTTTCCAATATCTGCCAGGGCCCCTTCAGTGCTAAGCGCTGGTTGGGGAATGCGTATGCGGTCTCGACGTGATCGCTTTTGCGAGGGGGGCTGTCGCGCCAGTGCTGCCAGGTCCTTCCCTTCGGCTACACGTAAGAGTGACCTTTCGCCGGAGTGACCTTTGGTGCGGGCCCACTGGGGTCCCCCGATCGCCGAGCGCGATGCGATAGTAGTGTCTTGCGAGCTTGTGTTTGACCCCCCCCGCGGCCCCCCAAAAGCTGCGCACCAAAGGTCGCTCTTACCCAGGGTCACTCTTACGTCTAGCCGATCCCTGTGCGGCAGCTGCGGCAGCGCCCCGATCGACTCTGCACCGCGTGCTGCCCCAATGTAGGTCTGCGAGGACGGAGCCTCGGCGGGCCGCCGTGGCAGAGGCCAACCCTGGGATCCGCCGCTGCGAAAAACGCGCGACGTCGCGAACCAAATCGCGACCAGAGACCTCGATCGATCGATCGATCTATGATCGTGTTCCTCGTGTTGATCGATTGATCGATTGATCGGTTGATCAACACGATTCATCGATTAATCGATTGATCGAGGGATCACGGCCGATTGATCGACTGATCGTGTTGCTGCATGCCCCGGGCCATCGATCGAGCCGTGCCGGCCCCGGGGCGCCCGAGGCATGGGCGACCGCGCCCGGCGCGAAGACTCTGCCGACGCCCAGATCTCAGGGGGTCACGGCGCCGGCGGTGGAGCGCTTGCAGCGCCCGGGGTCGCCGGGGGTCGTGGGAGGTCGTCGAGGCATAGGCGGCGAGGAGAGGCGCTCCCGGAGGCGAGGCCTCCCGGCGCCGTGCTGCGTCGCGGCGTGGGCCCGTGGCCTGGCACCGCTCGGGCGTGTGCATATTTCTTCTCGGCGAGGGCCATCGAGGAGCAGCCTGGCTCCTTTGGCGAAGAAGCCACGCACGGAACCAAACAAAAAAACACAGGGAAGGGGCGTCCGAGCGATGGCCAGGTGGAGGCCTCGACGCCCCCCGCGGGACCGCCCTTTTTGCTCTCCGAGGGCCTCCGCGCGACGTCCGTTCCTGGGGCGCGGCACGGGCCCCCCCCGGAGGTCGGGAGCGGCGCGGTCTACACTCCAGTCGGGCGTGTCCCTCTATGAGGAGGAGATTCAAAGATAGTCAAACAGGAGTCCGGGGACGATCTGTTTGCCTCATCTACTGTTCTCTTGGGGGGGATTCTTGGCGAGCATGTTTTGGCTCTTTCTTGTTGTTCGTTTCAAGTCCGCCTGTAGAAGGACATGCCCGACCTGAGCCTATACGCGACGTGAGCATGTCTTGCGCAGGTCTGCGAGGATGGTGCCTTGGCGGGCGGTCTAAGAGGAGGTCAAGGTCTCTGTGAGGCGGATGGTGGAGGAGTTCTGACGTCGGAGGCCGCCCAGTGTGTACCCGCACTGAGGCTGGGCAGGTGGATCCTGGACCCAGCTTCGGCACGCCTCCTGGCCACCACGCCAGCAGCTGGGCGTGTACACCCACCCTGGGCTCAGCATGGGTCCGGCCAGGGCCGGCGTGGGTGTATAGTTGACGCTCTCATGTGACGGGCTCGCTCGGAGGCTTCCCCCCTTCCTAGAGTACTCCTAGATGGCGTCGGAGTAGACGGGGTCGGAGTGTCGCGTCGCATCGCCCATCGCCGATACATCGGCGATGCATCGGCGACGCCGTCGTGGAGAACATCGGGGCCCACATCGAGCCTCATCGCCGATGCATCGACGATGCGGCGCGATCCTCCGACCCCCTCTAGTACCACCCCATCTGGGAGGCCTCGGCTTTCCCCGCCGGCTTCAGGCTTCGCGGCCGGCTACGCAGCTGCGACCCCGTCGGCACGCGGCGCGGCCGGCTACGCGGCGGCCACCTCGTCGGCCCGTGCCGCCCCGGGTTGCGCGGCAGCCTCGGCGGCCCCTGATCCGCCCACCCGCGACCCCGGGGAGGGAGGAGGCGGGAGGGAGGAGGGAGGAGGGAGGACGAGGAGGACGAGGAGGACGAGGAGGACGAGGAGGACGAGGAGGACGAGGAGGACGATGACGACGAGGAGGAGGAGGGCGCCGTGAACGAAGCCACAACGGGAGGTTCTCACTCGCATCGGCGGGCAGGCGGGGCGAGCGGATCCTGCCGACGTCTTTGATCTTGCATGACATGGACCCTCAAGAGGTCTGGAGCCTTCCCGGGGACTGGCGTTTCCTCCGGAATCGTTTCTGGACGGCCCCCGGGCCCGGTGAGGGCCCCTGGAGGCCGAAAATAGCGAGGGATTCTGGGTTTCGGGCGTCCGGATCTCCAGCCGAGATCGGCGGGTCGTGGCGCGGGCTGGCGATGCGAGTCGGCGGGTCAGCGGGGCGAACGGGTCTCGGGGAAGCGTCTTCCTCGGGCACGGCGGGGGGGGGGCCTCTGGGGCACCAGGCCGGAACGGGCCGCCCAGGGCGGGCTGTGACAGGCTGGTGGCAGGCTGTGGCAAGCGGCGCCTCCATCCCCAGACATGCTTCCGTCAGATCTGGGCGCCGCCATCTTTTCACACCGGGCATTTTCGCCCGGTCCTGGGCCCCGGGGACCCTCACAGGTCGACCCGGCGCGAAACATGGCGCGGAGGAGGTATCTCGTGGATGCAGATCGTGGTGCCACGAGAACCCCTGGACACGCGCAGCGCACCTCCCCCCCTCTCCCCGGACGCGCGTTGGCCGAGGCCCCTCGACGCGCGTCGGCCGAGGACTCCGTTATGGCCCCTCGGCCAACGAAGCCGGCCATAAAGCAGGATCCAAGCGTATTACGGGTCCATGGGCATCTTTCAGGAGGAAGAGGCACACACACACACACAGACACAATTAATCGTCGATTCCCCCGAAAATATGGGACATATGGGAAGTGGGGGGGAAGACAAAAACCCAGAACATATGGGACAATATGGGGAATCCTGTTATTTGTGTGTGTGTGTGTGTGTTTATTTGTATGTCCCAGGACCCCTTCAATCTGATGGGTACAAATCTTGTCCGCAGGAGGTGGAGAGCGCGGGTGAGGACAGGAGGAGCGGGAAGGGAGGAAGAGCAGGAGAGGGAGTCTGAGAGGGGTGGTGGCCAGGGGCAGGAGCCGCAGCCTTTTCCCCCAGTCCTCCATCACCTCCTCTCTTATCCCCCTCCTCCTCCTCCTCCTCCTCATCTTCCTCCTCCTCCACCTCCTCTTCCTCCTCCTCATCCTTTTTGACGTTGCGCAGACATGGATCGGAGATCGTTGCGTTATTCCTCCTGCTCCTCCTCCTCTTTCTCCCTCTCTTCCCTCCCGCCTCCTCCTCCTCCTCCTCCTCCTCCTCCTCCTCCTGGGCTGGAGCTATGTCTGCTTCACCCCCCTGGCTGTCTCCATAGTGTGGGGCTTTCGCGGACACCCGATCCGATCCGATCCTACTCCTCCTCTTCCCTCGCGACCCAGACGTGCGACGTCTTGATTTTTTCGATGCGTGGTCCCAGGGAGGCCCCGACGCTCTCCACGGGACGGGTTTGATTCACTCCGAGTCCACTCGCTGGGCCCCGAGAGAAGCCAAACACGCTTAGCTCCTAGGTGTTTTCACCACGCGGGCAGATCTGGGCACGCGAGCGACGCACAAGAAAACGGGTCCGGCTGCGCCGACATTTTGGCGCGGAAGCTGCCCGCGCAAGTGCGCGAGTGGGCGCCCTCGTTCCGTCCCCAGCGCAGCGTGCCACGCGGGCGGCCCGCGGAAGTTTCGGCGTGAGGTCGCTACGTCAGCTCGGGCGACGACATCTACGCACATCGACTGCTCCCTGGCAAGGCCCATCCTGGACCCGGGAGCTGTGTATACGCCTTCCAGGCCGAGCCAAGAGGGCGCATGCACAGCTCGCGGACGGGAAGTTGTTCGCCTTTCTCGGCGCCTCGGGACCCTCGCCAGGTGCCGAGGGGCCGTCAAAAAAGACGACTCAGGAGGAAGAGCTGGCCCCGCGGGAAAAGGGTCGGGGCTTCCGGGCACCGCGTATGGGAAAAATCGAGGCGTCGCCTGTCTGGGAATCTGGGACCACCTCGCCCCCATGATTTTTTCATTGCGGGACCGGTCTTTCCTTCTGAGCCGTTGTCTGACGGCCCCTGGGCCCGGCGGCGGCCGCCCAGAGGCCGAAAGTGGCCAGAAACCGCTCGTCGTGGTTCTTTAACGGCGCCATCACGGCTGGGAGGCAGCTGACGCCACGCAGCTATACATGCACAGACGCCCTCCGACGCATGGTGCAGGTGCCTCCAAGGACAGCGTCGGTGTAGAAAGGCGCTGGCTCTCAGCGGTGATTCCTAAATCAGTGCTTGCACTGAAGGGGTCCTAGCGGAAATTGAAACCTAAGGGAAGAGGAGGGAGGAGGAGGGAGG